CCCCCCCCCCCCCCCCCTTCCCCCCTGCGTCAGTCTCTGTCTGCTGAGTTGGTGCCACCCCATGTTGCTGCCTCTATATCCGAGGTAGCATCCTGGGTCAGCAGCCAGCGTGTCTGCAGGAAGCTGGTTTATAAACTGGCTCTCCTCGCAGACCAGCTCCCGCTTGGCACCCTGTGCTGCTGCCTCTGGAACAGAGGCAGCAGCACAGGATAGCAGGGGGCTCCCTGGGAGTGGGGCCACAGCACACTAGGTGCCAGCCCAGCTTCCTGGGATTATCAAATAGTTGTGTAACCTATAAGAATTCATGCTATTCAATTACTCGATATTTAACATCCCTAGTTGGATCATATATAATAACAAATGAACACAAGCAAAATTATAATCATTAGCGTGGCATAAAGGAAGTGTACAATAATACGTGAAGATATGGATGCCTATTTCAAACTGCAACACAAACTCAGGCAAGCTACTAATTCTCTACTCACCCATGCAGAGAAAATGTCCTATCTGTAGGTAGTAGCGCTGGAATGAAATGCAAGTGAGCAGGAAGCAGAGAATGTGGAAAACTAGAAGTCCCAATAGCCATGGTTCAGACCAGTCTGTTTGCTGCAGACAAAACATGAAATCAATTAGGAAACTTCTATATCAACTGGCGAGGAGTCCTGTGGCACCTTATAGACTAACTGAAGTGTTGAAGCATAAGCTTTCGTGGGCAAAAGTGGGTCTGACGAAGCGGGTCTTTGCGCACGAAAGCTTATGCTCCAACACTTCAGTTAGTCTATAAGGTGCCACAGGACTCCTCGCCGCTTTTGCAGCTTCAGACTAACACAGCTACCCCTCTGATTCTTTATCAACTGTGTATCAATCTTAGACTGTTTACTTGTGTCCCTTGCAAACCTGTTTTCTTACGTGCTGTTCTAAAAGCAGAACCTTGCATTACAGCCTGACAAAACGATGGAACAGTAAGGCAGAAATCTCCCCCTCGATGCTTCCTTAAACAAGTGAGCCAACACAGTGAAGCAAAGCAGGCTGGCCTGGACACTGGGGGCACTTACACATGGGAGTGGCCTCACTCCATATCAACAGGGCTGCTCCCACCATTGGGAATTCAGGCACTCCCGAGCAGCAGGGACACACGCCACTCGCATGGGCTTTTTTCG